TACCTCGGCATTTTAAAAGGTCGATTTAAACACAATGGGATGTTAAGTGAGATCTCCCTCTGTGATCTCAGAAACCATCTGTCTTGGCTTTAGAGAAACTATTTATAGCAGAGAGGACTGATGTGGTGTCAAGACTAGGTCCCAGAGACTTAATACCTCTAAAGACAGCAAAAATATCTCTTGGACACACAACAAAGAAGACACAGAAATCTTAATTGGGAGGGTTGGAGCAGATGTTAAGGGTCACCAGAACTCAGGACGTCCTCTTTCCCCATGCCAGAGCTGGAGTCAGGATGCATCACCTAACCAAATGTGCAAAGGTTCTTCTGTACTGAGTCTCAATGTTTTCCACCATTTCCCTTTGATATGCTCTCATCTTTGCTAACTTTCTGCTAGCTGGATGCCATCCCAAGACCTGATTGGAAAATGTAACCTACAATATCAGTTAGGTTGCACATTCCATGTCAACATTTGGAAGGAGAAAAAAAGGAAAAATTAAAGATTTGCATTGTGGTAAATAATAGCTTTATTTGTTAAAGTGCTTTCCAACCCCTGCTGTTCAGCCTCACTGAAATGACAGACAGGCCTATATATTTCTCCTGAGTCTAACTTATGGCTTTTGATGAGGTACCTGAGGTTAGGAAATAAAAGCTGTGTCCCATTCCTCATTTTTAAGTGGTGCTTATTCTTCCAAGGACAATGGGATTTACAGTCTCAAAAGGCAGAACTATATATTACGAACCTCAAGAAGCTCTAGTTTTTTTTTTTTTTTTTTTGGCTGCCTCATGGTGGCAGGGAAAGGAGAGTACAGTATTTAGCAAACAGCCTCACATCCAGGTTGCAGGAAGGGATGGAATTCAATGGAAACCCTCAAGCTATCAGCCAGCAGCACAAATGAATGCAATATTGAAGACCCAAGAGCAGCACCGACACATCTTGTTCAGGTATGCCAAATAACCCAGGTAAAACAAAGTCAGATTAACAGCAGCAAAAGCAAAACCACAACTCATTCAGCTAGGCTGGACGTACTGATCAAACTCTTCCGATTTACTACAGGAAATCTATTCCCATATAAAAAGCAATGTAAAGACTTATATTTACAAAAATAATCAGAAGGTTACTTTTCTGTTACGAGGGAATTCACTACAGAATTTAAACTGTAATTTCCCAGGATTATTGTTTTTAATATTCAGGAACACCTCCTCGGGAAAGTGTGGAAACAGGCCTTGGGAAGGAGCCATCACTCAATGTTCAGGGTCAACCAGTAGTTTCTGAATACTAGGGGCCTTGGTTTGACGATATATATATATATTCCACTGTTTATAAGATGTCTGATCCACACCATAGCTCAACAAGTCAGGAATATTAAGGTCATTTTGCATATGTGAAAACAGAGAGTTGGAGAAGGTATGTGCCATGGGCAGCTGCTCACTGTGTGCTAAGCAGCCTATGAAGGTCATCTCTTTGATCATCCTAGTAAGTCTACAAGGTATTATTATCTCGGTAAATACAGTATGGAATAGACTGAGAGGTTAAGAAATCTGCCCCAGCTAGTAAATGGTAGAGAGGGAATATGACTGAGAGCTAAAAGAGAGGAATGGTCAGCATCACCTCTGAGTTTGGCTGAGGACCGATCATGAAACCCAGGGAAGACTTCATGGGGAGGAGTGGCTTAGAGGAAGTAGAGAAGCTTGATGGGAGCGGGAGGAGGGCAGAAGACAGCAAATTCAGGGAAGCAGGGCAAAGTCTGAGATGCTGGAGTGCACATGTAGGTTTGGGGAACGATGGTCTGGCCTGGTCCTACGTTGATGGTATGTGAGAGCTTCTACATAAAGTGGGAGCTAGCTGGGTGGCTGGTGCTAGTCAAAGTGTTTCTGTGAACTGCTGAGAGACCAGATGACATAAAATTACAAAGAATTATTAAAAATACTAATAGAAGATACAGCACAGACAAAATTCCTGTATGTATGAAGCCACACAGCAGCTCCCGCTTGCAAAGGCAAAAGGAGAATTCAAGGACATTTCAAATTATCATGAACTCCAGAGAAAAATTTTACCAGTACTTTTATCAAGCTGAAGGAGACAAAATTCTTTCAGGTTCAGGTGAAGTGGTTCACTAGCAGGGTGGGGCTCAAAGCCAGGATTTTCTAGACTGGGCCCAAAGGTAGGAAAGGGAAGGACCATGACCAGCAAACATGTAAAAGGCATTAATAATCGGGACAGGAGGCAGAGAAATTCTAGGCAGACAGGGGCAGATCCCCGGCAAAACCCCACCTTTGAGCCTAGAAGCCCGAAACCCTTGGTCCAAAGTGATAACATCGATCCCTGTTTGTGTGCTCTCTCCTGATTGGTTCTTTCTGAATAATATCTTTTTACCAACCGAATGTTGCCTTTCCCAAAACTACCTACGGCCCGCCCGCCCCACATCCTGTGCCTACAAAGACCTCAGAGACTCACTTGGTAGACGAGAGAAGTGGCTTGACTGAGGAGAAGCAACTTCACTTTAGAGGGACGGCTGGGCTTTGGAGGAGAGACGGCTTAACTTTAGAGAACAGCCGGCTGGACTTCCGGGAAGACTCCGCCTGTGCCATCCCTTCTCCAGCTCCCCTCTCCACTGACAGCCACTTCCATTGCTACATAAAATTCCTCTTCTCTACTATCCTTCAAGTGTCTGTGCAACCTAATTCTTCTTGGACGCCAGACAAGAGCTTGGGACTCACCCAGTGTGGGTACCCAAAAAAGGCTGTCACACTGGCCCTTCGCCCCCGCTGGCGGGGAGCAGCTGCCCCATGCAACAGGCAAGGGGCCCACTGAACTGATAACGCACCGCTGTCCAGGTACGGCGGAGCTGAGCATTGTAACATACTCTCTGGGGCTTCAGGGGTCACAGGCACCCCCACCTGGTCTGGCCGAGGGGACCCCACAGAGCCTGCTCCTGCCAGCGCCCAAAGCGGTCAGCTGGATCCTGCACTTGCTCTCACATGCGCTCCCTCCCACAACAGGCTGAGTGCGGCGGTCCAAGTAAACGGAGTACCCCTGTTGCAAGTCTGATGAAGGGGTCAAGAGAAAACTCCTGCATCATCAAGACCCTAGTTTCAATCGCCTATGCTGTTCTCGAGTTTCCTAGTGCTTTAGGGGACTAATGTTTATTACACAAAAGTAGAATAGGATCCCCCCACCCCCGATAGTACCACCACAAAAATGTTAGATTACTGCCCAATGTGGAAAAAAAATAGTTTTATAGACCCTGATATATTTGTGTTATCTGGCATGTACAATTTATTGCTTACTAAATAAAATGGGCAAAAGAAATACCAAAATATTCGTTTAAAACATATTCATTAACAAGAGTGATTGTCTCTACGGAGAGGCCCTGGTGTTTTAGGAAGGATTGGTAGTGAAGCGCAGAGCTAGGGCAAAAAGGTAGGGGGGAGATTTATTTTTCACTTTTTTTGTTTTATGGCAATTTAACTTTGTGTAAGATGCAGGTATTAAATACACACACACACAATTTTCCTTTTGTGTCAATTTAACTTTGTATAATATGCAGGTATTAAACACACACACACACAGACACACATGCATTGATTAATCACATCTTGAGTAAATCAAAACCCAGGAAAAGTTTTCATTATAATCGTGCTACTGAGTAGAAATAAACAAAAGGTACTGAATAATGAAAAATCAATCATCCTGGCTAGGCATAGTGGCTCATGCCTCTCATTGCAGAATTCTGGGACGCTAAGGTAGGAGGATCGCTTGAGCCAAGGAGTTCAAAACCAGCTTGGGCAGCATAGCAAGACCCCATCTCTATTTATTTAAAAAAATAAAATAAAATAAAAAATCAATAATGCCAGGAAACAGTAACATTCTAGACCAACTTCTAAAAAAAAAAATCATGAGTAGATATGAAAATGGTCAGTGTAAAATGAATCCTAAATTGCTGGGCTGGAATAATTCATGTATCTTTTTTTTTTTTTTAAACAGAGACAGGGCCTTGCTCTGTTGCTCAGGCTGGAGTATAGTGGCATGATCATAGCTCACTGCAGCCTGAAACACCTGGGCTCAAGTGATCCTCCTTCCTCAGCCTCTTGAGTAGCTGGAAACACAGGTGTGCACCACCACGCCTTGCTAATTAAAAAAAAAGTTATCTGTAGAGATGAGGCCTTGCCATGTTGCCCAGGCTGTCTCAAACTCCCGGCCTCAAGCTATCCATCTGCCTTCGTTACCATGCCGGCCTGATGTATACTTTTTATCTATCATTCCATTAAATAATGGTAACAAGAATAACAATAGTTCCTACTTACTGAACATTTACTATGTGCGAGGCATCCCCTTAAATACAGGTGCATGCCACACCACTCAGCTAATTTTTGTGTGTGTTTGTGAGAGATGGAATCTTGCTCTGTTGCCCAGGCTGGAGTGCAGTAGCATGATCTCAGCTCACTGCAGCCTCCACTTCCTGGGTTCAAGTGATTTTCCTGCCTCAGACTCCAGAATGGCTGGGACTATAGGTGTGTGCCACCATGCCCGGCTAATTTTTGTATTTTTAGTAGAGACAGGGTTTCACCATGTTGGCCAAGCTGGTCTTGAACTCCTTACCTCAAGTAATCTGCCTGCCTCAGCCTCCCAAAGTGCTAGGATTACAGGCGTGAGCCACGGCACTCGGCCCACCCAGATAATTTTTGTACTTTTTGTAGAGATGGGGTTTCGCCATGTTGCCCAGGCTGGTCTCGAACACCTGGGTTTAAGTGATCCACTTGCCTTGGCCTCCCAAAGTGCTAGGATTACAAATGTGAGCCACTGCGCCCAGCACTGATGAAAATTAAACACTGAGAAAAACTTGAAAACTAGCTAGACTATGGATGCACATCTATTTATAATCACGTTTTCTCCTCATACTATGAAAAAGGCAAGTCTTGCAGAGTCATGGCGCAGGGTCAAAATTAACCTCAACAACTAGTTCTATGACTGGATACATTTTACTTCTAGAAACTTACCAACGGTGTGTCTTTTCCTCCCACAATGCTGAGACCAAGCCCTGAACGTCCCTTGGATATTTCTATAATCATTTCCTGTCCAGGGACAATGGGGCACGTTGCGGGATCCACTGACAGAGGAGCCTGGAAACCACCTGAAAAAGAATTGAACACAGCATGACTGGCAAGTAAGAGTTGCAGCTCAGCCTGCACGTTCCATCACGTGGGGAGTGTGGGGCTTGCACGTGACAAACACCACGAAGCAAAAAGCTGGGTCATTCCTGCCTATTCAGCCAGGGGTGACACTGTTGAGATTAAAATGATAACTCCCACCCCTCAACCCATCAATTTTACTTGAAAGTTTTAAATCTTATTTTGTTCATTTATATTTTTGAGACAGAGTCTTACTGTGTCACCCAGGCTGGAATGCAGTGGTGTGATCTCAGCTCACTGCAACCTCCACCTCCTGGGTTCAAGCGATTCTCCTGCCTCAGCCTCCCAAGTAGCTGGGATTACAGGCACATGCCCCCATGCCTGGCTAATTTTTGTATTTTTAGTAGAGACGAGGTTTCGCCATGTTGGCCAGGCTGGTCTCGAACTCCTGGCCTCAGGTGATCCGCCTGCCTTGGCCTCCCAAAGTGCTAGGACTATAGGTGTGAGCCACTGCGCCTGGCTAAAAGTTTTAAAATCTAAAAATACATCATGAAAATCTGTATAGAAAAATTACAATGATTAAATGATTAGGTTCATGAAGGCCTATGTTACAATGAGAATAAAGGCTGGTATAACAGGAGATTCTGAGCTATAGAATACTAGTTAAGAAACAGTGCCTAAATACTTTCAATTAGAGCATATCAGATGAATTAAATTATTAAGATGTATAAAGGATATAATCGATAAAGTATGAAATATCTGAAAATAACAATTATCTAAAATTTATCCCCAAATATATTACATAGTAAGGCAAAATGTATTATAAACACAGGACTCAAAAATTACTTGTGGGGTTCATAGAGGAAAAGTTTATTTAAAAGTTATTGCTTTTTTACAAAGTTTTATTTTTAAAAACAATTGTTTTCAGTTGGGTTTTCCCAAAGAGTGAGGGAAAAAATGTTTATAGGCTAAGAAAAAAATGTTTAATAACACCTGTTTATCCAGCATAAAATCTACTTACATGCATTTTCCAGATAACTGAACGTAACCTATTAAAAACTCAAAACATTCGGCCGGGCGTGGTGGCTCACGCCTGTAATTCCAGCACTTTGGGAGGCCAAGGTGGGAGGATCACCTGAGGTCAGGAGTTCGAGCACAGCCTGGTCAACATAGTGAAACCTCGTCTCAACTAAAAATACAAAAAATAGCTGGGCATGGTGGCTCATGCCTGTAATCCCAGCTACTCAGGAGACTGAGGCAGGAGAATCGCTTGAGCCCAGAAGGCAGAGGTTGCAGTGAGCTGAGACAGTGCCATTGCCCTCTAGCCTGGCCAAGAAGAGTGAAACTCCATCTCAAAACGACAACAACAACAAAACCTCAAAACATTCAAAATGTTGAATAATTTCAAGAGATGCTCATACAAATCATAATCTCCAGAGAATGTCATATTTTCTGATCACTAAGTTTGATCACCATGAATATTGTTTCCTACATTATGATACAATTCAGGCAAGGGCTGATGAGAGAGGGCCCCATCTGCTGGTCAGCTGCAGCTAATGCACAGAGCTGAGGTGAGATCCCAATGCTCATCAAACCTATGTAAAAGCAGGGGTCAGTGGACTACAGCCCATGGATCAAGAATGGCTTTTACACTTTCAAAAGCTTGAAAAAAGATCAAAAGCAAAATAATGTCTCAAGGCATGTGAAAATGATATGAGTCTAAATCTCAGTGTCTGTAAATAAAGTCGTATTGGAACACAAACCCACGAATTCATTTATGCCTAGCCTATGGCTGTTAGCATACTACAATGGCAGGGGTGAGTAACTGCAACAGAGGTTGTGTGGTCCATAAGCCTAAAATATTTACTATCTACTTCTTTATAGAAAAAGCTTGTCAATCACTGGTATAAAAGAAAAACAGGCTGCAGGTGAGCCTGTGGGGGTTCTGCTCTAACTAAGTGATAATCATGGTCTTTGGGATGAAAAGGTTTTGGAGTGGCAGAGAGCCACAGTTGAGTTCCTAAGCAGGAAGTTAACAGGAGGGTGAAAGTGGAGCTCACTTCTCATCAGAAAAATGTTATTTTTCTATTAAAGAGGCTGTTAGAGGAACTAAACGAACAGTGTGTGTGAGGTGCTCAGCCCACAGTCTGGCACATTGTGGATATTCATATATCTGCTGTTCCTGTCCATATGGGATTGATTAATCTAAAGGCCTCCTGGTTAGGAGCAAGAAATTCAGTGACACAACCATAAAAAGTGCCATATTTAGAAGTAGCCTGTGGCCAGCCTATGTGGCTAGCACACTACAATTGCAGGGGTGACAAACTACAACAGAGGCTGTGTGGACCACATCCTAAAATATTTACTATCGACTTCTTTAGAGAAAAAGTTTGACAATAAAACAAAAAGAAACACGCTCTAGGTAAGATAGAGGCAAGGCAGAATATTAAATTGTAAACCAAATTTGTCTCTAAATCTTTTTGCAGCATATGTATTTTATACTACATTTCCCATTAATTTACAATAAAAACAACATATGATAGTGGCACACTTTCATGGGTGCTTTAAAAAGTTTATATGGCTTTTAGGCCAGGTGTGGTGGCTCGCGTCTGTAATCCCAGCACTTTGGGAGGCTGAGGTGGGCTGATCACCTGAGGTCAGGAGTTCGATATCAGCTTGACCAACATGGTGAAACCCCGTCTCTACTAAAAATACAAAATTAGCCAGGCATGGTGGCTCATGCCTGTAATCTCAACTACTAGGAAGGCTGAGGCAGGAGAACCACTTGAACCCGGGAGGTAGAGGTTGCAGTGAGCCGAGATCACACCACTGCATTCCAGCCCGGGCAACAAGAGCAAAACTCCGTCTCAAATAAATAAATAGATAAATAAATAAAAAGCTTATACTGCTTTTGTAAATGACTAGCATAGTCTCCTCAGCAAGAAGAGAGAAAAAACATCTGGTGAGACATCCTGGAGATGGAATTTCTTTTCCCTCCTCCACGTCTGCCTCACCCCAGCCAGTCCTGAGTCAGTCTTTTTATTTACTTCTCTCATGGAATCCAGCCCCAAACCCGGCTCATACCAAGTCCTCAATAAATGCGTGGTAAGTAGATGAGTAAATGAATAAAATATCTATAGATTCAACTGTAGGATGATGAACTTCATTTATTTATTTATTTATTTAACCATGAGAATGAAAACCAGGAAGGATGCTGAATTTCTGTCATCTGAGTATAAATATGTGATATATATTACCAAAACTCAGCTCGTCTACCTCCATGCTCAGCATGCATTGTTGGTAAAGTGCCAAGTATACATATTTAGGGCATTATAGGCCAGACTGTCTCTGTTGCGACCACTTAATGCCATCATTATAGTGTGAAAAAAGCCACTGACAATACAGAAATAAATGAGTGTCTATAAACCTGTATTTGTAGAAATTGAAATATGAATTTCATAGAATTTTTAATAAAATGTTCTTTGGTGTTTTTTCAACCTTTAAAAAGTGAAAACCTTTTTTAGCCTGTAGACCATACACAGCTAGCTGGTAGGCCAGATTTGACCCATGCGCCATAGTTTTCTGACCACATGTATCAAGTGTTTTAGTACAACCACAGTGCTTTAAAATGGTACCTGCCAGATGAACTTTATGAAGTTAATATTTATGAAAAATATATAAAAGACAAATACCACAAAGATTTCAGGACTGCTAAATTAATGTAGGGTTATGCTTTGCCATTGGTGAGTACTGTCTTTTAAAGAGTTTTTTACTGATGTATACTGCACAAAAGCAAAGTAGGGCTGGGCACAGTGGCTCACGTCTGTAATCTCAGCACTTTGGGAGCCTGAGGCAGGCAGATTACTTGAGGACAAGAGTTTGAGACCAGCCTGGCCAATATGGTGAAACCCTGTCTCTACTAAAAATACAAAAATTAGCCGGGCATGGTGGTGGGCACCTGTAATCTTAGCTACTCAGGAGGCTGAGGCAGGAGAATCACTTGAACCCGGGAGGCAGAGGTTGCAGTGAGCTGAGATCACCCTCCTGCACCCCAGCCTGGGTGACAGAGTGAGACTCTGTCTCAAAAAAAAAAAAAAAAAAAAGCAAAGTAGAAATACCTATTATTCATTATAAAGTTCTATTTTCAACCCCCAGTCAACATAACTCAAGCCAGGAATTTAAAGAGAGAATGTGAATACCAATTTGGTTAAGCATTGAAAATCAACATTCTTCAAACAGCTTATAGCAACATTTGCAGGACTAAAAATTGGGTTTGATAGGATTTTTAAAGAGATATTACTCAAGACCGAAATATGATCTTTTGTAGAGATCAGAGAAGAATAATACAGAAGCCTCAGAGTCAAATAACATTTACCAAGGTCCTTTTCTTTTCTTTTTTTTGAGACAGAGTCTCACTCTGTCACTCCAGGCTGGAGTGCAGGGGTGCGATCTCAGTTTACTGCAACTTGTGCCTCCTGGGTTCAAGTGATTCTCCTGCCTCAGCTTCCTGAGTAGCTGGGATTACAGGCATGCGCCACCATGCCCGGCTAATTTTTCGTATTTTTAGTGGAGACGGGGTTTCACCATGTTGACCAGGCTGGTCTTGAACTCCTGACCTACTGAGGTCCTTTTCTGTTCTCGCGCTTTTATATTCAAAAAGCAATAGGCAATGGCGACGGCAGAGAGGAGGAAAATGGTGTAGGAAATGAAGTGGCCTATCCCAGCCCCAAAGCTAAGGAAGTGGAGGAAGCATCCAAAGTCAGGCTTTCGCCTCCTGGTCCAGTTCTCTTTTTAGGACATTATGATCCCTTGCCTTCTCTAAGGCTTAATGAGCCAGATCTGCTCAGGGAAAGAATCATACCATAGCCTATGAAGTCTGCGTCTGTTGAATGGTACGATGAATCTGGTGCTAATGGTATCTCTTGTGAACTGAAGGAGACTTTTGTTGGATATTTTTGCTGTTTCATCTGGCTGATAGCCTACAAAAGAAAGGAAAATTAGATGAATATCAAAAAAGAGAAAGGTAACAAGAAAATACCTTCAAACTGGTGTATTGTTGCCAAAACAATGGTGCACTCCAATGATGTTTTCTGAGAATATAAGGTTGGAGGGTGGCAAGAAGTTAGGATAATTTATGCTCATTCCTCATGCTTCCCTATTTAACTTTACAACTAAAATGCTTTGATGAAGGGCAGATCAAGGAAGGGAGGAAAGATAAAAGCTGAAGATACTCTGTCAGTGTGATCTGCACATGAAGCTGGGGGTGGGAGGCAAAACAAAAATTATTTTGCAATTTCTACTCATTCTGATGAAATCCGCAAGAAGCCCCTTTATCTACGGACTTTGAAGTGACTTATCTGTCTTGTGTACATTGAAAAACAATCTATGCTGGGGATGTTTAGAGCATCAACATTCTCCATTTCTTCTCGACACACTAGAGTCAAAGGTGCATTTGGTAGGTTAATTAAGCAAAATGAGGGGCAAAGAAAACCAACATCTCCTGAAAGCCTACTAAATGCCAGTTACATCAGTGACATTTAATTCACATAAAGGAACTGTGCTTTATTCCACTATGATACCCAGTGCCTGGACATAGTAGGGACTCAATAAAGTGCTTGATGAATGAATGAACAAGTGAATGAGTGAAGAAAGAAAAGCAAAACTGAAGATGTGAGAAACTCAGGGTAGAAAGTGAACTTGTAATTCAGGGAAGGTATGGGGCCTTTACTGTGTGAGTTTGGGAAAAATTAACTTGTAATTCTGGATTTTTGCTGACAGTACCTCCAATGAATATTAATATTAAAAAACTAAGAGGCCAGGCCTGGTGGCTCATGCCTGTAAACCCAGCACTTTGGGAGGCTGAGGCAGGCGGATCACCTGACGTTAGGAGTTCGAGACCAGCCTGGCTCACATGGTGAAACCCCATCTCTACTAAAAAAAATACAAAAATTAGCCAGGCATGGTGGCACATGCCTGTAATTCCAGCTACTCTGGAGGCTGAGGCAGGAGAATTGCTTGAATCCAGGAGGCAGAGGTTACAGTGAGCCGAGACCGTGCTGTTGCACTCCAGCCTGGGCAACAAGAATGAAACTCCGTCTCCAAAAATACATACATACATACATACATTCATAAACTAAGAAAAACCAAAAGGACTCCTTGCTTATTTAACAGGCAGTTAAGAAATATAGGTAGTAACCTGACCTGCCTTCTGGATCTGCAGTTGGCTAGGGAACCATTCCCCAGCTGGAAGAGTCCGGTAGTCAGGCTGCCCCTGGAGTCTAGAAATAGGACCCAGGTAACTGCTCCAGAACTGTAACTGTAACTGTAACACCTCAAGATTCTGTCAGTGGAAAGCCCTGCCTCAATATAGGGCATTGTGCAGTGTGCAGTAACAACAAAACAATACCATCCATTGTGCACATGCACTGGGCTTTCTAGTTTCCAAAACACTTTCACATCCATACATTCATTCAATCACATGAACAATCCTGACAGTTAAATATTACTTTTTTTCTTTTTGCAGAAAACCAAGCATAAATGTCAAGTGACATATTTGAAGTCACGCGGCTAATTAGAGAACGAGGTAGAACTGAAAGTCAATAGTTGAAGAATGCTACAAGCTTAAAGTATCAAACAGCTGATAGGCAATGATTCTATGGATGTTCTTTTGTTTTCTCCTGCAGCTTTTCTATCACTGTCTTTTCTTTTTTTTGGACAGGGTCTCACTCTGGCACCCAGGCTGGAACAGTTGTGTGATCTCGGCTCACTGAAGCCTTGATCTTCCTGGGCTCAGGTGATTCTCCTACCTCAGCCTCCTGAGTACCTGCGATTACAGGTGCACACTACCACACCTGGCTAATTTTTTTGTAGTTTTTAGTAAAGATGGGGTTTTGCTATGTTGCTCAGGCTGGTCTCAAACTCCTAGACTCAAGCAATCCACCCACCTCAGCCTCTCAGAGTGCTGGGATTACAGGCATAAGCCACAGTGCCCAACCACTATCACCATCATTTAATACTGACTAAAAAAAGACTTATTCAATTACACATTTATCAGTGATTTTAAAAGGAAGGAAGTGGAAAAGGACAAATAAGGGGTTACTATAAGAAAACAGAACATTAAGAGGACTTAGATATCCAATTATTCTAAGGACCACATTTACTAGCCTCATTGAGGGCAGTGTGCCAATAGGCTAAGTCCTGGTCAATGGGATGTAAACAGAAGTGAATGTACAATTTTTAGGTCATTCTCCTAAGGAGAAAGATCCTGCCTTCCCCTTCCCACTGCTTGGAATGCAGATGTGTTGGAAATAACTGAAGCAGCCCTCTTAAACCAAAGAATGGGTGCCACCATTTGAGGATAGTAGAGTAATCAAATAAGAATAGTATAGTAATCAGATAAGAGGTGCTTGGGTCTGTGACACTTTGGAGATACCATATCATCCCCCAACTGACCACACACAGATTCTTATGCTAAAGAGAACTTCTTGCAGTAAATGAGCCTGTATCTTAACTCACACAGTACTTACATCCAACTTACGTTTTGTATCACCTCGAGAAAGAACATGGATTCCCAACAAAGCTGGGTGCAAGCTGCGGAGTTCTTTTATGAAAAATCATGCGACTTTAAAAACAGGAAAGCACTAGAGAGAGCAGTCTAGATTACCAAATTATGACTTTTCCATTGCACAAGATGATTGTTGCTTTTCTTTATATCCCAGTTTCATGTAGCATCTGGTGCATAATAGGTCCCTGATAGATATTCGTGGAATTGAATTCAATTTAACAATAAGGAAGCAGTCCATAGAATCCAAGTGAAATGTCCAAACATATATACATAGAGGCAGGCCTCCAGTTGTCGGTATGTGTGGTGATGGATAAAGGAGTGTTCCCATGACTCATTCATTGGCACAAAACCAAACTACTATGTAAGAAAGATCAGAAAGAATGGATTTGCTGTTGTATGTTACCATATTATAAGAACTGAGATGGACTTTATAGGTCATCCAACCTAACTAAACCTGTGGTTTTTAACTCTGTTTCATAATACGAACACCTACGGAGCTTTTAAAAATTACAGATGCTAGGATCCCCATCACAGACAAAATAAACTAGCATCTGGGGGTGTGGAGCCCCGGCAAGTTTTTTTTTTTTTTTTTTTTTTTTGATCGAGACTTACTGCTTAAGACTTAATCTTTTAAGAAACGCTGGCTTAATCTATGGTTTAACTTTAAACGATAAGTCTCAATTGAAAAAACAAAAACAAAAACAAAAAAACTTGCCTGGGATCCACATCCCTAGATGCCAGTTTATTTGGTCTGGGATGAGGGTCTTAGCATTTGTGACTTTTTAAAAGCTCCCTAGGTGTTTCTATTATAAAACAGGGTTAAGAACCACTGGTTTAGTTGTAAAATACCCTTGTAGTTGTATCAAAATTGTACTTGTCAGTGTTTTTCTAGAGAAAGGATTTACATTTCATCAGGGCCGCATGATAGGAAAATAAAAATCATGACTCAAAAGAAGGTATATGTTGCTAAGTTTGCTATCACTAATTAGCTGTGTGACCACAGACAAGTCACTTGACTGCCCCATCTATAAACGGGTGATACATCTATATATTGCAAGGTTGTTGTGAAGATTAAAGGTAAATAAATAAACCCATCACTGTGCCAGAAATAATTTAGGCTTAATTAATAACAGCTATTAATGCTTTTATGTCCTTTTAGAACATATCAATACATGATCGGCCAGCTTCTGATTGAAAACCTTCAGGGATGGAAAATTCCTTTCCTGAAGAAGCTCATTCCATTTTGGAGCAGCTCAGAGGGTGGGAAGGTTCTGTATAATGAGCTGCCAGCCTGACGGCACAGGATGCCCACTGACCTCTGGGCCATTTCTCTTTGGAAGCCACAGAAAGGGCTTAAAATCACTTTCCGAAAGGAGAATAATTTAGAAGTTTAGGTGCTCATTGTTCTGCAAGAAGAAGAATGTAAGATGTTATTTAGGATTCGCCCTAGCTCTAAAATTCTATGGTTGTAATACTTTAGAGGTGTTTGTTATGTGCTTGAGGTAGGTGGGAGTATATAAAGTTTTGTTTGTTTGTTTGTTTGTTTTTGAGACGGAGTCTCGCTCTGTCACCCAGGCTGAAGTGCAGTGCTGTGATCTCAGCTCACTGCAACCTCCGCCTCCTGGGTTCAAGTGATTCTCCTGCCTCAGCCTCCTGAGTAGCTGGGATTACAGGCGGCCGCTACCACGCCTGGCTAATTTTGGTATTTTTAGTAGAGATGAGGTTTTGCCATGTTGGCCAGGCTGGTCTTGAACTCCTGACCTCAGGTGATCCACCTTCCTCAGCCTCCCAAAGTGCTGGGATTACAGGCATGAGCCACTGTGCCTGGCTGGGAGTATACAAAGTATTAACACCTTAATGGTATTTGCAAATACATTCAAGCAAAACCTGCTTTCAAATTAAAAAAATTATAATTGGCCAGATGCAGTAGCTCACACCTATAATCCCAACATTTTGAGAGGCTGAGGTGTGAGGACTGCTTGAGCCCAGGAGTTTGAGGGTACAGTGAGCTATGATTGCACTACTGTACTCCAGCCTGGGTGACAGAGTAAGACCCTGTCTCTTAAAAAAAAAAAAAAAAAAAATTGCTTACAGGTTTTCAGTTGAACTGAATTTGGTTATTTTTAAGGTTCATTCTGTATCTATTTTTTTTTTTACTTTGGGTTTTTAGCATATAATTTAAAAGAATTTTCAAAGGCATTTTCTTTGGCAATGTTTGAAATATGTATTTCCTGTAAGCTCTAGTAATCTATAGCTTCCTAAATATAAAAATAGCTAACATAGTAACAATGTATACTTTTAGACACATAAAAGCGTAGATTAGTACATAGATATGAAAATCTGGACTTAAAAAAAGCAAGGAAAAAGCTCAACAGTAATAAAAGTATAAAAATTTGATAAAAGTTTATAGTTCTT